AGTTCGAGCCCTATTTCGGTCTAGGCAAACTAGTTCCTTAAGAAACTTGAATTCGAGGTGTTGACGCCCCAAAATCACCAAACGGGGTCAGATTGGCACGAAACTTGGCACACACAACCGCCTAGGCACGAGAGACTTGTGGGAGAAGACGGGACTCCAATGGGGTTCCCGGTTTGGGAGTTAGAGCCCTATTTCGCTCTAGGCAAACTAGTTCCTTAAGAAACTTGAATTCGAGATGTTGACACCCCAAAATCACCAAACGGGGTCGGATTGGAACGAAACTAGGCACACACGACCGCCTAGGCACGAGAGACTTGTGGGAGAAGACGGGACTCCAATCGGATTCCCGGTTTGAGAGTTAGAGTCGGATATCACTCTAAGCAAACTAGTTTCTTAAGAAACTTGAATTCGAGGTGTTGACCCCCCAAAATCACCAAACGACGTCGGTTTAGCACGAAACTTGGCACACACGACCGCCTAGGCATGAGAGACTTGTGGGAGAAGACGGGGCTCGAATTAGATTCTCGATTTGGGAGTTAGGGTCGGATTTCTTTCTAGTCAAAATTATTTACTTAACTATCTTTGTAATTATATAGTAGTTAATTTTTTATGTTTTTTTTGTAATTAAAATATTAACACATAATTATATTGTCATTAATTATTTTTATTTTTTATTTTCAGATATTTCCTGAGTAGCAGTTTGCTTCTTGTGGAATGCAGGCGTGTGAAAATTGTGACAAACTTTTGTTTTTGTAACTCACAGAAGAATCATGACGAATACTTTTATTTTTGATTTACGTTATTTAGATTTGTGAACATTATGTATGTATTATGCAACATTATGTGGTGGGATAATTTTGTTGATGTGTTGTTATGAATGGAAGAATATTTTAATTATGGATGAATTTTTATTTATATACAGGAATTTTTATATTATTATATAATTATAGGGATTTTTTTAGTTATTTTCAAGTTATTTTCATTTAATACATTTAATTTTCATATTTTTAATAATTTTGTTGCAGTTTTTTTTTTTTTTTTTTTTGAGACGGTATCATACTGTCTCAGAAAGGGTTTTTTGCGATGGTAGCATAGCCATCGCCAAAGATATTGGCATTGTTAGTAAATTGAAACAAAAGGCCTTTAGTGACGATATCCTTCATCGTCGCAAATACTATTTTTAGCGACAGTATTTTTACCGTCGCAAATAACCATTTAAGCGACGGCATTTTTGCAGTCTCAAATAAAACTTTTAGCGACGGTATTTTTACCGTCGCAAATAATCTTTTTAGCGACGGCACCACAGTGCCGTCTCAAAAACTTCAAATTTCTACACATTAATAGCGACCGTATTTTGCCGTCGCTAAAAGGCACTTTTGCCGTCGCCTATTTTTTGCGACGGCGTCACACCGTCGCTAAAGGCCTTTAGCAACCCCCTTTGTTGCAACCCCCTTTGTTGCAACCCCCTATTATCGTCACTAAAGCCCGCTGCCATCGCAAAAAAGCTTTTGAAGACGGGGTTTTAGGTATTTGCTACAGTATTTTACTGTCGCAAAAAAGTAAATTTTTTGTAGTGATCTTCACTTCTCCTCTGCTTCTATTGTAGCTGTTACTAAAATTACACTCCATATACTTTATCTTAATTCTGTTTATCCTAAATCTTTTAAATTCTAGTACTTTTCTCCAAATCTTAAACTTAGTATTAACTCCTTCTTTAGTTTTCCATGGCACATCATTCTGAATATTACGTGTCAACTCATCCATAACTAAAGCAAAAAGATAAGAACTTAAGGTTGATCCTTGGTGTAACCCTACAAAAATTAAAAATTCACTCGTCTCTCTAACAGGCAATCTGATAGTGGTCACTACACACTCATACATATCCCTAATCACATCAATGTAACCTTTTGTCACCATTTTCTTTTCTAACACTCACCAGATTATATCCTAAGGCACTCTATCATATACTTTCTCAAAATCGATAAAAACTATATGAATATTTCTTTTCTTTTCCCTTCTCTATACTTTTCTATTACTCTCCTCAAAAGATAGATCGCTTTACATTGTTGATCTACCAGGCATAAATCCAAATTGATTCTTTAACACCTCTGTTATATCTCACAATCAACGTTCCATCATTCTCTCTTACACTTTCATTGTGTAACACATTAACTTGATTCCTCTATAGTTGATACAATTCTAGACATTTCTTTTATTCTTATGTATTGACATTAAAATACTCTTTCTTCATTTTGACATTTTCCTAATTAATAAAATTTTACTAAATAACCTACTCAACCAAATAACTCAATTAAAAAAATGGTAGGAATGCTAGACAGCAATTCCTACATGGCAAGCAGAATAGCCTTCATAAAAACAGGAGAGGGTGGGTTTGTATGGGGGGAGCAAGCAAGCATGCCTAATGGAAAAAAAAAAAAAAAAAAATTCAATGATATAAACTCTGTGAACAACAATTGCACGAGTTTAAAGAAACACTCTGTCTGGGAAAAGTTAGATTGGGCTTTTTTGACTATTTTAGTCATAAAAGATAAAATAGGTTATTTTAGTTACAAAAAATAAAACATTACATCCAACCCATAATCATTACATTCTTCTCTTACAAAAAAAACTAAAAAAGTCAAAAAGTCCTTCCCAAACTAAGTTTTTCAGCCCAGGCTAAAATAACCAAAAAAAATCAAAAAACCAAAAAATTAAAAAGTCAACCCACTTTCCAAACTAACCCAACAGATTGCGAGATTCTTACATGCCACAGGGTTAAAGAGAAACAGAAACTAGCGCCGCATGAATGCAAAAATGACTTAAGAATAATGTTTGGTAGCTCGAGAGTTTGCCTCCCTCGAATCCCCCTAATGCCCAAAACGACGTCGTTTTGGGCATTAGCCTTTTTTCTTTTTCTTTTTTTCCTTCCATTTTCGAGTCTGCAGAGGGAGAGAAAGAGAAGAGAGGGGAAGAGGAGGAGAGAGGGAGAAAGCTCGCCGCCGATCGTCGCGTGTGCCTCCGCAGTCGCCGATCGTCGCAGCAGCAGCTCGTCGCCTCCCCCGATCGTCAGTTCGTCGCCTCCGCCCCCCGCCTCCGCCTCTTCCTCCCCTGAATATTATACCCGCTCCAGTCCCTCCTCCTCCTTCTCCTCTTCCTCCCTCCTCCTTCTTCTGCAAAAAAAAAAAAAAACAAAAACAAAACAAAACAAAAACGGCATCGTTTAGGGTTTAAGGGGATTCAGGGAGGTAGCTTTCGAGCTACGTAGCACTGCCGAATGACTTAAATTCTTTAGTTGTAGGTTATAATCCAGTGATATAAATAACAATAAGCTAAAGCTGCTATTTAACATTAATACCATAACTGAAATCCACACGCGCAATCCATGCCTACACAAAAACACACAAACAAACAAGAAAATAAAAATACATATGTACATATGTCTAGATCTTGGATTTGTAACAAGGTTATGTTACGTAGATTCAGGTACAAGTATAGGTGTGGGTGCGGATGTGGGTATATATTTAGAAGTCAAATTCATCAAATCATAAATTTAAAGATACGTATACTTAACAACAAAATATCATATTTTTATATTTTTAAGGGTAAATTACACTTACACCCCTGAAGTTTGAATTTAATACATATCACCTTTGACGTTTGAAAAATTACACTAACCCCCTGTTATTGTAATTATTTAGACAGAATAAAAACATTAAACTCATCATTTTCTCTTTTTTTGCTTTGCTTTATTTTCTCTTTTTTTTTTTCTCATTAAACTCATCATTTTCTCTTTTTTTGCTTTGCTTTATTTTCTCTTTTTTTTTTTTCTCTTTTTTTTATTTATTTTTTAATGTAATTTCCTCTGTTTTTCTACTAGGACTTGCTACTTTTTATATAAATAAGGGGATTGTGAAATGAAATTATTAACCACATGGGTGAAAATGTAATTTTCAAAACGTCGAGAGATGAATAGTAATTAGACCAAACCTCAAAGGGCGTCAATGTAATTTATCCTATTTTTAATTGAGTATGTGAGATAAAATGATACTATATGTAATTTATAGTATCAAAAAGACATTTATAGCAATTATGTAATAATATATTCATATAATAATTGTGCTTAATACAAATTATATAAGAAATGTCGGATAAAAAATTATCCGACACATTTCATACCCTTGTTTGATTTATATTGAAGAGTCCGTGTAACAATATAGAGGACGCGAAACATGAAATGGAAATTTCACGACAATTTTTTATTAGTGACAAAAAATACTTTTTGTTTACAAAAATCCATTCATTTTACAAACCCTAAAAAAGAGTAATAGAATTTGATTACTTTCAGTTCATTTTCTTCCCATATTTACCCTTTCCATATATTTTTGGACAAATTATATATACCTCTCTCGAGATTTAGTAAAATTATAAATACCCCTAAAGTTTGAAGTTTGAGAAATTACAGATACCTCCGTGAATGAACTATTTGCATAACAAATTAGGAGACAAATTGTTATGAAAATATAAACTTCATAGGACAATTTGCTATGAAAATATAAACCTCAGGAGAATATTTGTAATTTTCGAAACCTTAGAAGATAGATATCTATAATTTAACTAAACTTCGAAGGAAGTATATGTAATTTGACCTATATTTTTCCTCCACAAACCCAAGATACAAACATAATAAAAAAAAATAAAAAAATAAAAAAGAAACCTCCACCTGAATGATCAATTCCCATTCTTGATCTGATCTTGACAAGTCGGTATGTCATAACACAACTTTGACAAGCCAATCTCAACATATTAGATCAAATATCTAATACACTATTAGGATTGAAGGACAAAGGTTACCCTCTACCATTCAAGTTCGATTACTCAGATCTTAATTTACCAATCCATATCACAGAGAACAATTTTTAATGTTGGAAGATAAAAGTTTGATCCACAAAACCATCATCACATCATCAACCAAACCATGAATAAATAATTTACTCCATACCTGCAACAATTTTGACAATTTCATTTCACAAATTCAGATCTGCATCATTGTGAAAAATTGAACGAAGTAATGAATCCATCAACGAATGATACACAAACATCCTAAAACAGCACCTATAAAGAATTACCAGATTTCCAACATATTTATTATCATTATCACTTATATCTACCAAAAAGTATTGAGTCGATTGATAATACAAAACTATGAATTTTTAATCATACTCGTTTCAAGTGGTTCGATACGATATCCTCAGACACGAGCGGCAACAGCCGATGCAGCGGCAACAGCAGAATTGGAGGCAGAACCGCCGAGGAAGGAAAGGAATCCAGTAGCAGCAGGTTCTTGGTCATCGAGAAACAGATCCTCGGGAACCCTAAAAGCACCATGAGCGAAGATAATAGCGAATCCAACCATAAGAGCAGAGATGAGTACAGATCCAACGCTGGTGAGGAAGATGACGATGACGCTAGACAAGACGAGGACGCCAAGGGTTTCTCTGTCGGAGAAGGAGCGGCCGAAGAGGACGAGAGGGGGATCGGAGGGGCGGAAGAGGTAGAGGAAGAGCCAGGCGGAGAGGAGGGCGAGGAGCATGAGGAGAGCGAAGGGGTTGGTGAGGAGAGAGATGGCGAGGACGACGGCGAGGGAAACGAAGTAGTTGACGCGGAAGTAGGAGTAGTTTTTGCGGATGCGGAGAGAGGCTTCGGAGATGGAGTCGGGCTTTGAGAAGGCGGAGCGATCGACGAGTTCGTACCAGGGGCGGCGCTTGGAGAGGCCGTTGCGGACGGTGTCGGAGATGTTGGAGATGAATGCGCGGAAGGCTGGGGTGGCGATGGGTGGCTGTGCAGCGGCGGTGGTGGTGGATTCGGGGTTTGAGATTGGGAGGATTGCGGGGGATGAAGAAGCCATTGTTGACTTGTTTTGAGAAGGAATTTGGACGAGGTTTTCTCAGATCTAGATAGAGAGAGAGAGAGAGATCTGAGGGAGCTTTTACAGGAGAAGAAGATATATCGTAGAGAGAGAGAGGATTCAACTTTATTTACTTTGATACAAACGCGTAATATTTATTTTCTGGTAAATTACACTATCCTCCCCTAAAATTTGATGAAATTACAGTATACCTTACTAAATTCCGTTAAAGTTTTAATTCATATAACAATGGACTTTTTTTTTAATTAAAAATTTGTCAATTTCATATTGAAATATATATTTTACTTTGTTTATATTTTTATTTTCATATCATCTATATTAGTTTTGATTTATTTTACATTGAAATATATATTTGTTTTGTGTATTTTTTTTAAAGGAAATTAATCTAAGGTCCCTCTCCTGTTTTTAAATAATATTATTTTGTGATGCCTAAGGTCCCTCAACCCTACACCCATATATCATAGAGAAATTTGACTCTCTCAAATCAAACCTCATTTCTCTCTCTTCCTCTCTCTCTCCTAACTTCTCCGTTCTCAGATAGAAGACAACAAACACAAACGAGACCGAAAGTCCAAAAATTGACTCATCGAAACCCTAGATTGCCCAACCACTACCACCGCTGCCGGCATAGCCTCCTCTTCTTCCTTTTCCGAGATCAATAATGTTATTGCCTTCTCCGTTAACAATGTCGAGCAAGTATGTAGCCATTGTGCTCGCTTTCTGTAGAACATTTTTTTTCTTATCTCGCTCCTTTTGACCGAGAATCTCATCAGCTTTGAACGCTATGTCTACTATTGCTACAGCTGCGACTATCTCTCTCTTCATCTCTCTTTTTCGATTCTCTAAATTTGGCAATAAACGAGTATGCACTATCATCTTTTTTTTTTCCTTTGCTAAATTTTTCTAGGCATTAGTCAATTCTAGAGAAAATTGATCAGTTAAGTTAGTTTTTTTATTTTATTTTATTTTATTATATATATATATATATATTAGTGATAAGTTGGTTTGGTTGATTTTTTTATATATATATATATATATATATATATATATATTTAGTGGTAAGTTGGTTTGTTGAATTGTGGCTTTGATCATACTATTGAGTTCTATTATTTTCAATTTGTTTCACTATTTGAATGGTCTTTGAATTTTGATATTAGTTTGGCTATTGTGTAAATTGTTAAATTGTTTTGATAGGTATAAATTTTGGAGTAGAATTGTTGGATAAAATTTGTAAAGAAAGCTAGAGAAATTTTAATTTTCTTTAAACAAAGTTAAAGAAATTTCAATTTTCTCTGAATTTCTCTGGTTTAAATTAAACGAAATTTCAATTTTCTCTGGTTTGACCCAGAGTAATTCTCCGCACATAATGAGCCAAATTTCTCTATTTTGAAGAGAATTTCTTTGGGAAGTCCAAAGAATTGGGAATTTCTCTGAGAATTTCTGAGAAATTCAATTTCTCTGGGAAATCTAGAGAAATTCTCTTAATCAAATTTTCTCTAGATCGATTTGAGAGATCTTAGATATTATGAAAATATTGGATATCCTTTATGCTATAAAATCTTAATACCACGGATCATAAAAAAAAAAATCTCTCTCTCTCTCTCTCTCTCTTTTTTTATATCATTTACATTAATTTTGACCTTTTTAATTTTACTAAAAAAAAATAAGTATAATTATATCAAAATTATAAAATGTATTATCTTGACTCCAAGGGTGATTCTATTTATACACAACCAAACCTCTCCGTACACACCATTTTCATAATTTTTTTTATTACACTTATATCCCTATATTAAATTACTTATTACACTTATATCCCTATATTAAATTACCACTTTAGGCATATTTCTAAACCTTCCACATCTTTCTTCTCTCTACAAATCTGTCGTTAGCGCCGCCATTTACAAGCTCACAGTACCTCTCTACCTCTCACCGTCTCTACCGACCACCTTTCCTTCCCAGCACTCTCCTCCTTCTATCACTTTCATTCTTCTTACCCCTCCGTGAGCCATTCTCTAATACTACCACAGCTCGACAAAAAGAGTAAATCACGATCACATAATTGCGATTGAGAGAGAGGGAGTGCAAAAGAGATCGTAGATGGGTGGCAAAGAGAACACTAGAAAATCTATCAAGATTAGTTCAACTTTGCCGATTTGAGTTCTTTTTCCATTTTTCTCAATCTGATTGGTCTTTAACAAATCCATCTTGTTCTTTTTCTTTCTTCTTCTTCTTCTTCTTCTCGAATAATTAAATCAATTCTTTGCTCTTGCATCGTAGAGGAAGAATTGATTCTTTGCTTTTCATCTCTTTGAGCAAGTGGCTACGAGGAATGTAGGTAACTTGAGAGGGATTGGCAGAAGATAGTAAGGTTAGGATTTAGGATAGGCCCTGTTTGGTAGAGCTGTGGGAAAGTGCTTATAGCTTATGCCTCAACAGCTTATAGCTTATAACTTTCAGCTTAAGCTGATTTCCAACTTATTCTTAAAGCATCTCCTGTCCCACTCAAAGAATAAGCTGATTTCTGACTTCTAAAAAGCTATAAGCTATAAGTTATAAGCTAAACTAAACACATCAAAATAGCTTAAATTAAGCTGAAAGCTAAAATAAGCTGTAATTAAGCTCTGCCAAACAGGCACAAAGAGTTGAAAAAGATAATCAGCTTGTTAATAGTTTTCAGAAAATTATATTTTCTTATTTTTCGTATTTTTTTATTTTTACTGAAATTTTTTAATATTTTAAGCAATTTTTTTACTTTTTAGACACATTTAACATAAAAACACTTAAAAAGTTAAAAAATTGTAAATTTTTTTTTAAAAATTCATTAAATACCAAAAATATATTAAAAAAATATATGAATTCAGTACATTTTTTATATTTTTATGTATTTATTAATTTTTTAAAATATTTTTTCACAATTTTTTTACTTTTTAAATACATCCAAGTAAGGTACATCTAAAAAAGTAAAAAAATGTTTAAAATTTTAAAATATTCAGTAAAAATAAAAAAACACAAAAACTAAAAAACTCTCAATTTTTAAAAAACTTAATCTAGAAAACTCAAACCAAACACACTGAATAGCATTTTAAGATTTTTCAAAAATTAATGATGTGAAATGAAAAGAAATCAAAGTATTAAAAATTTGTGTGACATGTATTGAGAAAACAACAATGATAGAGACCACTAATTTTAGACCTCTAAAAAGATCACTAATGACATGGCACTCAATAAAAAAAGAAAAAAAATACAATACCAAGGTTAAAACACCAAATCATTCATAATGGGGTCCACTATCACATCATTAGTAGTAGCACTAATTAATGCTCTCACTCATTTTCCTATTTTCCTTGAGAAAATTGTGTGTACTGAAAAATTGTGTGCTATGTAAATAGAACTCTAAACCTCAAGGAAGTTTGTATTCAATTAAACCTTTGCAACCAAAAAAAAAATAAAAAATTAAGAAATAATTTTAAAAACAGCCGAAAATATTCAAATTGGAATTCTAACTGGACAATTCAGTGCAACCCACGGTAGGTCTATTTCAGGTCAGTTTTAATAATTCAAACCATTCATTTTATAAAATCCTCTAAAGAGATCATACATACAAAAAAATCAAATTAATCGAATATCGATAATCATTCGATCGGAACAAATTTGTCTAAAAATTAATTAATAGACAACATAATTTTAAAAGTAATTCGTTATTCAAATATGATCCGATCAAGTAATCCCAATGTCTGATAAACCTGATTTTTGGTTTGCATGATCTCCTCAAAAGAGACTATAAAGCAAATTGTTCGAATCGTTGAGACAGATTGAAATAGACCCACAATGGCCAAACTAGACCATCTAATTGAAATATTCATATGAAGAAAATCAACTCCCTTTCAAATTAATGTTGAAACACATTCAAAACTTTTGTAAATTTTCAGTTGTTCCAAAACTAACAAATTTAATGTTTTATGTAAGTCTCCAATTTTAAATAAAATTGATATTTTTAAAATCTTTTCATTTAAATCAATCAAACAAAACCTATAAATATATAAAAATCTTTAAAAAAAATTTTTTTTAAAAAAACCATTGAATTCACTGTTACAAAAAACTAAATAAAATCTTACTGATAAATATATAAAAATCTTAAAAAAAAAAAAATTTTAAAAAACCATTGAATTCACTGTTCCAAAAAACTAAATAAAATTTTACTGCCCTAATCATATAAATTTCACTATTTTAAGAGAGCAAAAATTTTCAATTGGCTGCTAAAAACATAAAATTGAAGGTCAATTGCAAAAAATAGAAACTCATTTTCAAAAGACTAAAAATGTCAAATTTAACACTCCAAAATGATTAAATTTTAATTTTTTTCTGTTGTTTTCAACGCAATAAAAATCCCAAATTGAAATGAAATTTTCAACTCCAATCCAAAACACTTTAAACCCCTTTTTGTTTGGGAGAAACGATGTCTTCTATGTTCCACACGGCCAAACACAGGATCAGTGACCTTTCTTTCATGCTTAGGGCTTACGCAAGCGTGTACACATCAAAACTTAACAATGTATACAACAACTGAAAGGGAAAGGTCAACTTATCAGTCGTGTGATTTGCATACATTACCACAACTTTAACATATATATATATATATAGGTGTATAACAGTAATGATACATAGCCCGAATATAGGAGCTCAAATTTGGCTCGAAATTAGGGGGAAGAAGGAGGAGGAGTAAGAGGAGGAGGAGGAGGAGGAGAAGAAGAACTCGACTGGAGGGGCCAACAAAATCGGGCGGAGGTGGAGGCAGAGGCAGAGGCAGAGGCGGAGGCGGCGGCGGGCGGAGGCAGGGCTACGATGCCGACGAGCGACGAGCTGCGAGATCGGCCGACGAGCTAAGACGCCAGAGTTGCGACGACGACGACCTACGTTCTCGCTCTCGCCTCTGTGTTCTCTCTCTCGCCTCTGTTCAACTCATCGAAGAAGAAGAAAGAAAAGGAAGAAAAGAAAAGGAAGGAAAAAAAAAAAAATCAAAACCCAAAACGACGTCGTTTTGGGTTTTGAACCAAATTCGAGCCCCTAATTTCGGGCGCTCAAACATTATTCGGTGTATAAAATATATGCATTAAAGCAAACAAAGGAAGTTATGTTATACTACTTAGAGGTGTCGACATGTGCAGAATTGAAAATATTTGAAACATTTAAAATCTAAAAATCATGACAGTTACTATGTAAAGGACATTTTAGGTATACAAAAATGGTGACAAATACTTCTAAGTTATGTACTTTATATAATAAGCTAATGTTGGAGAATCATGACAGATATTTTGTATAGGGGTTTTTTAGGTATACAAAAGACGTGACAAAGCCAAGTCGTGACAAAGTTATAACGTATCAAGAATGGCCAAGATGTTCTCTTACAAAAGCTACCTTCCTGGTATTTTAAGCCTTGAACACCCCAAAAAAAAAAACAAAAAAACAAAGACAAAAAAAAAAAACAGAAACAGCAAGAATTCTTACTCTTATCGCTGGAAGGAAACCTAGCAATGTTGTATGTAAGACGGCAAATTTTAGTCAAAAAATCAAAAGATTACTATAAGTTGTCACATCACTCTTTACTTTTCTGTATATTTTTTGGTAAAAAGTAAAAAATTTACTAAAATAGTCTATTCTCAAACAAAAGTATACAAAATTCAATGACAAAAAAAATACCTAAAATCTAAAGTGTGACCCCACACACAATGTGAAAAAAACAAAAAAACACAAAAAACAAAAAACAAAAACATGACTAAAGAAAAAACAGCGGTAGAAAATCGCAATCTTTGTCTTTGAGGCTCTCAATAACCAAAAGTGCAGACTAAAATAAGATGTAGGTGGTAAGATAATCTGCACATGTTTTCAAATTACGAGAGGAAAAAGAATAAGCTGCACAAAGATTAATGATTTCATGAATATAACAGTGTCATTTCGGATTGGCTAAGATCGGCATGATAACAAGAACTTACTGATTGAATTTAAAAGCTGTTTGTGGTTAAGTATCTAGCTTGGAATTAAAAAGGCGTACCCAGTGCAAGAAACTCTAGCTTAAGTGGGGTCTGAGGAAGGATTGATGTACACAGCCTTACCCCCGCAAGTAGAGAGACTGTTTCTCCGACTTGAACCCATGATCTCCAAGTCACCAAGGGGTAGCTTTCACCGCTACACCAGTGTCATTTTTCTCTAGAAGTAAAATGACATTTCACCTAAGAAGTGGAAGACATAGAAGCACTGTCTGGGAAGCAATGGAGATGTAGACTAATAGGAAAAGAAAATATCTTTTCTTTTAAATGCACAAGAACTTCGTATTTAGTCAAGGAAAACATTCAAATTTAAAAGGAGTGGTTGCCCCTTAACAAGAACAATAATGATTCACAAGTGACAAATGCAAATTTCCACTAAGTGTAGAAGTGATGGGCAATAGTCATCTCTAGAACCAACCTAAACAAGAAGCAGAGAGTTGACAATAGAAGGTAATTTAGCTTCCCCAGGATTTTTACAGACACCCGGTACTGCTATAGATCAATGAAAAAGGATGCACCTCGGGAAGGCAGTTAATTATGGTCGACATAAACTGTAACATGATAACAGAAAAGACGTAACATTCTTACCAATACTACCATAGAAGTATTTTTTTTTTAGATAGGTACTACCATAGAAGTTATAAATTATAATACCAAGTTACAAGACAAATAGCCTTACTTTCCATACATAGCATCCAGTTCACGATAGACTCAAAATAACACAACAGAAGTGACACTGAATTTAGAAGGTGGTTCCATTCCATCCAAAGTTGGAGCCCTACAAAATAAATAAAAAGGCATCAGCGCCATATAAAACTGTACGAAATAACTCCAAATATGGTCTTACAAAGAGAACATGACAAAAGTTCATTTTTCATCTAAACAGGAAAGGGAAACATGGATACCGAACTCTTACACTGTGTTTGGTTAAGGGATTTGAGAAGAGATTTGGAAAGGGAAAGGGAAACGGAAAAGGTGTGTGAAACTAGGCGAAATGTAGGTATATTTTATTCACATTTCACCTACATTTTTCTTTTATTTTTCCAAATCCTTTCCTAAATCCTCCAACCAAACACAATGTTAAGAAATAAAAAAAAAAGTCAGTAAAAGCTTTATTCACGGTTCTGAACAGTGAGGGCTTATTTACATTAGCTAGTACTGGTGTAAAGCATGCAGACACTGTGCATGTTCTTGACTTTGATACGCCTAAACAAACAGGAAGAATGCAATGAGAATACAAAAGTGCATAGCAACGACTCATCCTCAGGATAACTTAGAAAATCGACATAGCTTGCCTTAGTGTCATAGAATTTCAGGAAGAATCGTGACGGGGGAATAGACAACTTGGCTTCAAGTATCGCTGAAATTGCAGCACTAAGCTTCTTGTTTACACTTGGGTTCAAGCCCCCAATGGACACCAACTCACCATAGGCTGCTGGCTCCTCAGTCCCACCAAAAGCAATGGGCACGGAACCCTTCAACACAATCATCACATACTGAAAATTAAGAAACACAAAGTTGTTAATAGTTTCCCAAAAAAAGAAGAAGACAAATAAGGCATTTGAAGCTAGCAATAGAACATGTCCTTTCAGCTTGTTAAAAGCAATAACAAGGAAAAATACGAGAACTATCCGCTGGGTTAAATTTAAAAACTATGCAATTGCAGTAAAGAAAATATTTGTTTTTTATGCAACACAAAGTTTTGTCTAAACCATTGAACTAATACAGTTTGGCTACCCAAATTACAATCACAGTATGGACATTATAAATAATGAGCACTAAATAGCACATGGGGGGAAACAACTATACAGCAATAATTCTGGCCATCATCTAGCTATAATTAATTCAACAAATACATCAAAATTTGATTTAAGTAAAAGCACCCATAAAATTTAAAGAGTAAAACAGCATGCATTGCCTTTGAATCAAGGAACCAAATGACTTAAATAGGTGGGATACTCTTCAATTCAAGCACCAATCAATTTAACGAGCAAACTAGGATGTACTGCCTAAAAATTAAGAAAGCAAGAGGCTATCTGATAATTTTTAGCCCTAACCACAACCAAAAAATAATCCATAAAAGAAGATGCATTGCCTTCACCAAACAATGATTTGCCACAAAACAGAAAAAAACCAATTGCATTTCTAATTTCTAAATTAAAAATAAGTGGTAAAAGTCATCACGTAGGCTGGTATTATCGAGCTCATATTGATGAATAATAGAACAATACCAACATCTGAATTTGAGCAAAAAAATAGTAACCATTTATTCAAAACTGACTATTATCTAATACCCATGGATTCAGAAATCATAGACCCATGGATATGGATAAATGACTGAGCTTCAAAGCTTACTTCCTAAAAGCAATTTTTCTTTAGTTGCTCAAATCTACATCAAACTTAAATTTGAGTAAAAATCACTCAAAAACCTCCGCCCTCCCTGACTCAAACTCATATCAAATTGCGTTTTATCCCTTTTTTTAATCCAAATCAAGGAAGACTCAAACTCAAATGTTTACTCAAATTTACAACTTGGTCATTACACACATAAAGACATTATATATATATATATATATATAGAGAGAGAGAGAGAGAGAGAAGATGATATATACAGCCTCAGGTTTGCCGATGAGATCGGCGACGGTGGAAGTGGCCTCCTTGAGGATGGAGGAGGTGTCAACGCCCTCCACGTTCACGTTAGTCGACAGGTTCAAGCAAGGCATCTCTTCTCTTCTCTTCTCTTCTCCGCTGGCCTCTGCAAAACCCTATCTCTGTCTCTCTCTCTCTCTCTCTCTCTCTCACACTCTATCATCTGCCAGGTGGAAGCCTCGATAAAAAGCCCAGTACCTGCTGTCCTGCCCAAGAAATTCGGACCAACCTCTCTAGCCCAGCCCAAGTTAGAGGAGGTTTTTTTGGTCCAACCTAGCTCTCCCGTAAATTATAGGGAAAATTATTATGTAGTTCTATATAGGGAATATATTTTTCTTCTAATCCAGCTATATTTTTAATAGATTAACAAGTTCATTGTTTTTTAAGTTTTGTACCTGAAAATCTCATTTTTATTTTTTAAATGACTGTATTACCCTTTGATTATATTAGATTGTGATCCTCGCTTATGCGAGGTTGTTTGCGATCTCGATCTCTTTCCGTGATGTCGATCTCTTTGTGTTGTGAGGTCAATCTCGTTGTGCTGTGAGGTTGATGTTAGAAAAATGGTGTAATACGGGCTTATTTTGGGCCATTTTTGAGCCAAAAATTGAGTGGGCCACAATCGTCTTTTGGGTAGGGTCCGAAGAGGTGATGTGTTCTTTGCCGCGTGGCAAGTCACACGGTAAAGACGGAACGTCAAGATCATTTATGAGTGAATGGAAAGTTGACGCCGTTTTCGGCTCTAACATTAATTTTTTAGACAAAATTCATTTGAATTTTTTCAAAAAAATTCATGTGAAAATTTAATTTAAATCTAAATTCAAATTTTGGTTTCCTAAGATTGTACATCTTCCTTTATTGATTAAACTATTCAAACAGTTTAATAAAAAATATTCCAACAGTTTAAAAACTGTTCCACCAATGGATACTTTTTTCAAACTATTTGAAAAATTGATCTAAGCAACGGACAGATCACTATTCAACAATTATCTATTTGAATAGTACTTGCACCTGTTCAATTTAAATGTGCACCTATTCACTTTAATTTGGTACCTGTTCGGGTTAGTTTTTTGCCTATAAATTCATATCATTTCCAGTAGTCTTGAACACGGAAAATTAGTCTGAATTTTATTTCTCTTGCTGTCTAGATTTTTCTATTTGCATTATTTCTTCATATTAGTTTTAAAGTAAATTTAAAGAGAGTATAGAACAGAAGGTTCTAGTTTGCCGGACAAATTTGTTTGGAATGCTACTACAAATTTGTGAAGATCATTGTATCCTGGAGATAGACCCCACTCAACCGTAAGCACCGTAGCGGGGCGAATCTGTCTTAAGGACAGAGTGTCACACATTCGACTTGGTCTTTGATTTTTAAATTCGGTTTGATAAATAAATTCGGTATGTTATTTATTTATTTATTTGATTTAGTTTCAATTTATATTATTTACACAAAAGATTGTTCCAACAATCTTAAGACAGATTCGAATTATTCTGTTTACAGAATTTTTCGTTTGTTTCCCTTTCTCTTTCTTCTTTTAAGAAAATAATTTTCTGTGGATTTACAAAATAATATTCTGGTTGGAAAAACAAATAGTAATTATATGCTATTTGACAGATAGTAGTAATATACTGTCTATTTTCTTTGACAACTAGTAGTAATATACTGGTGTCATTAACAATTCAGAATATTTATTTGTGAAATTTTTTCAGAAATTAATTTTGATTTTTAGAAATTATTTTCTGAGTATTCTATAATTAAAAAAAATTATGTTTTAGTTATTCTATAATATTCTATAATTAAAAAACTTATGTTTTAGTTTTTTTTTTAATTATTGAAGTTGTTACAGAAATTTAATTTTCTGCGTGGAATTAATTTGGTTAAATAAAATTTTATTTTATTTCCAAATTAATTAAAAAATAAAAGTTACATTTTTTGTTTCTTTTATTTTTACAGAATTTAATTCTGTGAATTTGGATTAATTTTCTGTGTAGTATAAATTCTAATTATAATTTTGTTTATAATTTAAAATTCATGGCTACTGAAACAAATGCTCAAACGAGTACTACTGTGGTGGCTGCAATTGCACCAATCCCCTCTCCTGTGGTGACAGTACCAGTAAATCACGGTGAGAAGCCAGAGAAGTTCTCAGGAACTGATTTTAAAAGATGGCAATAGAAAATGTTGTTCTATCTTACAACTCTAAACCTGGCTCGTTTTCTCCGTGAGGATGCTCCTATTTTGAAAGAGGATGAAACCAACCGGCAAGTGGTTGCTGCGGTTGATGCCTGGAAACATGCTGATTTCCTTTGTCGGAACTACATCTTGAACGGACTTGACAACATATTATACAACGTCTACAGTCCTATCAAGACAGCAAAGGAACTTCAGGAGTCTTTGGAGAAAAAGTACAAAACAGAAGATGCCGGCTCAAAGAAATTTGTGGTTGGAAAATTTCTGGATTTTGTAATGGTTGATTCTAAAACTGTGATCAGCCAAGTTCAAGATCTCCAACTCATTCTGCAAGACATTCATGCAGAAGGCATGTCTCTCAGTGAATCCTTCCAAATTGCAGCCTTAATTGAGAAATTACTACAAGGCTGGAAGGAGTTCAAAAACTACCTCAGAGATAAGCGCAAAGAGATGTCTTTAGAAGAATTAATTGTGCATTTGAGAATTGAGGAGGACAACCACAATTCTGAACAGCGGGCTGGTAAGCATCCTATGGAGTCTAAGGTAAATGTGATAGAACATGCTTAAAAAATCAAGAAACGGAAGTCTTCTGGAGAAAGTTCATCACAAAGCTCTAAAGGAGGAGAAAATAAAAAGTACAAGTTTAATGGCAAATGTTACATCTGTGACAAAGAGGGACATCGGGCCAAAGATTACCGTAGCAAAGGCAAAAGCAAAAGAAGAACAAGCAAGAAGCCTGCTCAAGCCTATATGACCGAAGTGGATAATATTTCCAACGGTGTAGATGACATCAATCTTTCTGCAGTTGTTTCCGAGGCAAATCTTGTCGAAAATCCTAAAGAATGGTGGGTGGACACTAGTGCTACTCGCCACATTTGTGCCGACAAAAAGATGTTCACATTTTATTCTACAGTGGACAATGGTGAACAACTTTTTATGGACAACTCCTCAACTTCCAAAGTTGATGGACAAGGGAAGATTGTTCTCAAGATGACATTTGGAAAGGAACTAACTTTCAACAATGTGCTGTATGTACCGGACATTTGCAAGAATCTTGTTTCCAGATCTTTGTTAATTAAGAATGGGTTTAGTCTAGTATTTGAGAGTGATAAATTTGTACTTACTAAGAATTGGATGTATGTAAGAAAATGTTACATATCTAATGGCCTTTTCAAGATAAATGTAATGACCGTTGTACCCTCAGTTATTAATAAAAGTACATCTTCTTCTTACTTGCTTGAGTCTTCAAATTTATGGCATGGTAGACTAGGACATGTTAATTATGGATTTTTGCGTAGATTAATTAATATGGAATGTTTACCTAAATTTGACATTGATTCAAATCATAAATGTGAAATTTGCGTTGAGGCAAAATTATCTAAAACTCCTTTTCATTCAATTGAAAGAAGGACTGAACCACTTAAATTAATTCATAGTGACATTTGTGATTTTAAATCAATTCAAACTAGAGGTGGGGAAAAATATTTTATCACTTTTATAGATGACTATACTAGATATAGTTATGTTTATTTAATTCGAACCAAGAATGAAGCTTTGGAAGCTTTCATTCAATATAAGTATGAAGTTAAAAATCAACTTGGTAAGAAAATCAAGAAACTTAGTAGTGATAGAGGTGGTGAATATGAATCACCTTTTGGTGAGTTTTGTAAAGAACATGGAATAATTCATCAAACCACCGCTCCTTACTCACCTTAGCAAAATGGAATTGCTGAAAGGAAAAATACGACTTTAAAAGAAATGATGAATGTCATGTTAATAAGTTCTTGATTACCTCAGAACATGTGGGGGGAAGCAATACTTTCTGCAAATTATATTTTAAATAAAGTACCTCGAAAGAAAGTGAATCAAATACCTTATGAAATATGGCATGGGAGAGTACTATCCTGCAAATATTTAAAAGTGTGGAGGTGTTTGGCTGAAGTGGCTATTTCTAGTCCTAAAAAAACTAAGATAGGTCCTAAGACCATTGATTGCATTTTCATTGGTTATGCCAAGAATAGTAGTGCATATCGGTTTTTGATTCATAAATCAGAACATTCCGAAATGCATGTAAATACTATTATTGAATCTCGGAATGCATCTTTCTTTGAACATGTATTCCCAAATAAGACTGGACAAGAGACTAGTAATAATAAGAGATTTTTTGATGCTATTACTAGTAATGATCAAGAACATGATCAAGAGCAAGAGTTAGATCAGAATGAGGAAGAGGAACCTAGGCGTAGTAAATGTGCTAGAACCTCAAAATCTTTTGGTCTAGATTTTCTAACATTTTTGTTAAAAAATAATCCTTTAACTTTTAAAGAGGATATGTATAGTCCTGAAGCTCCTTTATGGAAAGAAGCTGTCAATAGTGAAGTTGAATCCATATTGTAAAATCACACTTGGGAATTGGTGGATTTGCCACCAGGTTGTAAACCGCTTAGATATAAATGGATTTTCAAAAGGAAAATGAAAGTAGATGGATCAATTGACAAATACAAGGCAAGACTTGTGGTCAAAGGTTTTAGACAAAAAGAAGGTCTTGATTACTTTGACACATACTCACCGGTTACTAGAATAACATCCATTAGAATGTTAATTGCCATTGCATCTCTATACAATCTAGAAATTCATCAAATTGATGTGAAAACCGTTTTCTTAAATGGTGAGTTAGATGAAGAAATTTACATGGAACAACCATAAGGTTTTTTTGTTCTAGGAAAATAAAAGAAAGTGTATAAATTGGTTAAATCATTATATGGTTTAAAACAAGTGCTGAAGCAATGTCATGAGAAATTTGACAAGGCAATGATGTCAAATGGATTTAAAATTAATGAGTGTGACAAATGTGTTTAGATTAAAAACACAGACAAAAGTTATGTCATTGTATGTCTTTATGTAGATGATATGCTCATCATAGGTAGTAATAATGATATGATTAAAACTACAAAGAAAATGTTGAATAAACATT